TATAGGAATGCAACAGATTTCTGTGTATTTTTTATCCTGCAACTTTGCTGAGTTCAGCTATTAGTTCTAGTAGTTTTGGAGTGAAGTCTTTAGGGTGTTTTATGTACAATATCATGTCATCTGCAAATAGTGACAGTTTAACTTCTTCCTTACCAATCTGAATACCTTTTATGTCTTTGTGTTGTCTGATAGCCAGGGCTAGGACCTGCAGTACTGTGTTGAATTAAGAGTGGGGAGAGTGGGCATCCTTGTCTTTTTCCTGATCTTAGAGAAAAAGCTTCCTGCTTTTTGCTGTTAAGTATGATATTGTCTGTGGGTTTGTCATTTATGACCTTTGTTATGGTAAGGCACTTGCCCTCTATACCTATTTATTTAAGAGTTTTTATCATGAATGGATGTTGAATATTGTCAGATGCCTTTTTAGCATCTATGTAGATGACGTGATTTTTGTCCTTTTTGTTAATGTGTATGTTGATGAATTCCTTGTATTTCTTTGTTTTGTCTAATTGCCGTGGCTAGAACCTCCAGTACTATATTGAATAAAAGTGGGGAGAGTGGGCATCCCTCTCTTGTTCCCAATCGTAGAGGAAATGCTGTCAGCTTCTCGCTGTTCAGTATGATGTTGGCTGTGGGTTTTTCATATATGATCTTTATTATGTTGAGGTACATGCCGTCTGTACCCATTTTGCTGAGAGTTTTTATCATGAATGGATATTGAATTTTGTTGAATGCTTTTTCAGCATCTATGGAGATGATCATGTGATTTTTGTCCATTTTGTTTATGTGTTGGATGATGTTGATAGATTTTCAAATGTACCATCCTTGCATTCCTGAGATGAATCCCACTTGATCATGGTGTATGATCCTCTTGACATATTTTTGAATTTGGTTTGCTAATATTATTTTGCTGAGTATTTTTGCATCTATGTTCATCAGGGATATTGGTGTGTAATTTTCTTTTTTGGTGGGGTCTTTGCCTGGTTTTGGTATTAGAGTGATGCTGGTTTCATAGAATGAGTGTGGAAGTATTCCCTCCTCTTCTATTTTTTGGAAAACATTAAGGAGAATGGGTATTATGTCTTCTCTGTATGTCTGATAAAACTCCGCGGTAAATACATCTGGCCCGGGGTTTTGTTCCTGGGTAGTTTTTTGATTACCGCTTCAATTTCATTTCTGGTAATTGGTTTGTTTAGATTTTCTGTTTCTTGCTTGGTCAGTCTTGGAAGGTTCTATTTTTCTAGGAAGTTGTCCATTTCTTCTAGGTTTTCCAGCTTGTTAGCATATAGTTTTTTGTAGTATTCTCTAGTAATTCTTTGTATTTCTGTGGGATCCGTTGTGATTTTTCCTTTCTCATTTCTGATTCTGTTGATGTGTATAGATTCTCTTTTTCTTTTTACAAGTCTGGCTAGGGGCTTATCTATTTTGTTCATTTTCTCAAAGAACCAGCTCTTGGTTTCACTGATTTTTTTCTATTGTTTTATTATTCTCAATTTTATTTATTCTCTGAACTTTATTACGTCTCTCCTTCTGCTGACTTTAGGCCTCATTTTATTCTTTTTCCAATTTCGATAATTGTGTCTTCAGACTGTTCTTATGCGATTGTTCTTCCTTCTTTAAATATGCCTGGATTGCTATATACTTTCCTCTTAAAACTGCTTTTGTTGCATCCCACAGAAGTTGTGCTTTGTGTTGTTGTTGTCACTTGTTTCCTTATATTGCTTGATCTCTATTTTGATTTTTTCATTGATCTATTGATTATTTAGGAGCATGTTGTTAAGCTTCCATGTGTTTGTGAGCCTTTTTGCTTTCTTTGTACAATTTATTTCTAGTTTTATACCTTTGTGGTCTGAGAAGTTTGTTGGTAGAATTTCAGTCTTTTTGAGTTTAATGAGGCTCTTTTTGTGGCAGTGTGTGGTCTATTTTGGAGAATGTTCCATGTGCACTTGAGAAGAATGTGTATCCTGTTGCTTTTGGGTGTAGAGTTCTATAGATGTCTATTAGGTCCATCTGTTCTAGTATATTGTTAAGTGCCTCTGCATCCTTACTTATTTTCTGTGTGGTTGATCTGTCCTTTGGAGAGTGGTGTGTTGGAGTCTCCTAAAATAAATGCATTGAATTCTATTTCCTCCTTTAATTCTGTTAGTATTTGTTTCATATATGTTGGTGCTTCTGTATTGGGTGCATATATATTTATAATGGTTATACCCTCTCGTTGGATTGACCCCTTTATCATTATATAATGTGCTTCTTTATCTCTTGTGAGACCTTCTTAATTTTGAAGTCTATTTTTTCTGATACTAGTACTGAAACACCTGCTTTTTTCTCCCTGTGGTTTGTACCAAATATCTTTTTTCCATCCCTTGACTTTTAGTCTGTGCATGTCTTTGGGTTTGAGGTGAATCTCTTATAAGCAGCATATAGCTGGGTCTTGCTTTTTTATTCATTCTTTTACTCTGTATGTTTTGATTGGTGCATTCAGTCCATGTACGTTTAGGGTGATTATTCAAAGATATGTACTTATTGCCATTGCAGGCTTTAGATT